TTAGGGAGTTTAGGGAATGCCAGCTCCGGGCAGAGCGGGGCTGTGGGGGCGCGAGTCGCTGGGCTCTTTGTGTGGATAATACAGTGTGACACAAGGGAAACAAAGGCGGATTGATGGGCCCAGCAGGTAGCAGGAGCAGCGCTAGCCTTGGCGAACAGCCAGAGCTCCAGGGGCCCAGGGCTCACAGGCCCCTGTTGTGGAGGGCCCAGCTAGGCTTGCCAGGGTGAGCAGCGATGCCGAACCTGAGGACTGTGTGTCATCCAGTCGTGCAAGGATTCACTGGGGATTTAGACCAAAACTGTGAATGAAGGGTAAAAATACAGTATTTCTAGACACACAAAAGTCTAGTTGGTATTTCATCGTTTAAATTTAATAAGATACATCTAAAAAGAACAGTTTGTATTACGTTTCACAACAAAATACCAGCTCAGATGATCCATCCGACCTTCCACCCTGTAAATTAACAGCATGCTTACTCTCAGAAATGCCAGAAATATAGATGATCAGCAAAAAAATGACTCAAGTGATATAAAATTTAAAACAGCACAGATATTGACCCCTGTGGCATCAAACACCATAAATAAAACGATATTTTTGTCTTGTAACTTAGCTTGCAGACACTTTCAGAGTAGGAACATATGACTAGCCTCCAGCCAAACATCAGTACACTTTGTTTGTGGGTTATAAAGTAGTCTGATTGGGTCCTGAAAGCTTCATTGGCAGTTGAATTGCTGAGGAATTTTTGGCTTTAGTAACCACTGTGGTCTGCAAAATACGGGTTTTATCCGCTGGTCGTGTTCATACAAATTTCAAAACTCAAATCACGCAATTGTGCATATCAGACCACTCATTGCTCTTGAAAAGTCGAGCCACTGCTTAAGGGTACCTCGCCATACCTCTGTGTGTGTGTGTGTTTTTTATGTCTGTTACAGAGCTAGCGGAGTGTAATGGGTGAGCCACGGTAAGTGTGCTGTGATTGTGAAACAATGGTGTCTGGTTACATAATAAGCTGTTGCCTTGAAAGGAGGCGTAACTCCATCCCTCAGTGCAAAAAAGAAACAGGCCGACACACTGCTAGGTTTCACCAGAAGGCCTTGGGCTCTGAGCAGGGACTGGTAGGAGGGGAGGGGGTGACAACATTCCTGAAACACTATCCAGATGCAAAGCAGCACACCTCAGGGATGACAGGAGGTCACTGAGATCCCGCTGAGCGTTAGGCCCTCCTGACACAACCACAATGGGCTAATGTCACTGCAGGGACTCTGCTTTTAGGCTCCTTCATGTGTCCTGCAGTATGTGCTTCCTCATCGCTGATGATGATCATATGGTATACACTGTGAACAATTTTTTTTCTATAGGGTTCTTGTTTTTCACAGTGGTAAATAAATGTGCCTTCTCAAAGATGAAATGTTGTGTTTAAAGGTTATTGCCTAGAGGTATCCCTTTCAGTACCTCTGTCTGGATGTTGGCAGTAGTAAAGACTGCCTTGTCAATGTTTAACACAAGATTGACACCCTCTATCTCTTTTTTTTCTTCTCTGTCTTTCTGTCTGTCTTCGTCCGTCTCTTTCAGCAACCAGAGAGTCAGCGTTTGTCCACGCTATAGCTTCAGCAGGTGTGGCGTTTGCAGTGACGCGCTCCTGTGCTGAGGGCACATCCACCATGTGCGGCTGTGATTCCCACCACAAGGGACCTCCCGGGGAGGGCTGGAAATGGGGCGGCTGCAGTGAGGATGCAGAGTTTGGGGTGCTGGTATCAAGGGAGTTCGCAGACGCCAGAGAGAACCGGCCAGACGCTCGCTCTGCGATGAACCGACACAACAACGAGGCAGGACGCACGGTAAACACATTTAGACACTTGAGGAAAGTGTGCAAGGATGTGCTGTTTTTCCATACTGAAATACACTACCTGGTCAACAGTTTGTGGACACCTGAACATTACACCCACATGTAATTGTTGAACTCCAAAACCATGGGCATTAATCTGCTGCTATAACAGCCTCCAGTCTTCTGGGAAGGATTCCCACAAGAGTTTGGAACCTGGCAGCAAGGATTCGCTCCCATTCAGACACAAGAGCATTAGTGAGGTCCAACACTGATGTTGTGCCTTAGATAAGGTCTGGCTCGCAGTTTGTGTTCCAGTTAATCCCAAATGTGTTGGATGGGGTTGAGGTCAGGGTTTGTCAAGTTCCTCCACATAAAACTGGGAAAACCATTTATTTATGGACCTGTCCTGGCTGGTCATGTTAAAACAGGAAAGGTTCACCGTCTCACTGTATGTTACGGCATTAAGATTTCCCTTCACTGGAACTAAGGGGCCTTGCACAAATCATGAAAAACAGAGGTGGACAGGGGAGTCCACATACTTTTGGCCAGACAGTGAACAAATTGAGTACCACAAGTATGCTTGTTACTACTGGATATCTGTAGGACTGACTCTGCAAGATAGAAGTACACTTTGTACTGAAGGATGAAATTGCTTCACGGTAATACATCACATTAATTTGATAACCTCAGCACACATTGTACTATAAATTAGAGCAAAAGGGGGAAACCGAGATGCCGTAAACAATGAACAATGATCTGACTATCTTGCAGAAGGAGTGGCTTTACCCAGGAAACATTACAGTTTGGGATTACTAATTGTTTATGTGACGGCTAGGGGCTTTGGTATTTGACTTGTCCGCACATTTCTGAGTTTCCACTTGAAAATTAGCACTTGACTTTGAATGACTGGTTAATTACTCATCTAAGCAACACCCTCCCTCCCATCTTGCCCCCACACCTCGCCTTTCATGCCTTGCATCCCAATGAAAAATTCCCTGCCAGTCAAATAACCCGAGTGAGTTGAGGGGGAAAAGAAGGAAATCAGCTCCGACTTAAAACATCACTGGCTGCTGTCACCGCTTGGAGAAAATAGGCTCTCCGGCTGCTTGCTGAGGGGCAAATGGTGGGACCACACGGCAACAAGACAGCACTTTGATCAGAGCACACAGGAGCAGCCGGGGCGACCACAGGAGCTAACTGAACAGCAGTACTGTCAGGAGTCTCCTCTCCTCTCCACCTGGCCCTCTCACGCTCCATTATTTAGCCCCCAGGGCCTCTGAGACTTGATGTTGGCATGACAAGCTTCACAGCATGATGTCACTAGTCCATCCACCCCTACCTCTGCCCCCCCTCCCCTACTCTCCCCTTCCTCACCCAGAGGTGCCCCAGCCACCTGCCTTCCGCCCCAGCTGGGGGAATTCTGTGGCTAAATATAGCTGTTGAATTAAAGCACAACAAAATCAAAATACAAAGGTGAAATATGCCCCGCAGCAGCACACTCATGATGTGAGCCAGTGACTTCAGAGAGAATTAGCAGCAGCACGGAGCCTCTGTACTTCACAGCTGCATGACACTTAAATAAATTGCAGCCGGTGGCATATTGTTTTTCTTGGCCAGCTCTGCGAGTCTTTAGTGGTTTTGTTAGTCTGCATTACTGAATTTCCTGTAAATTTGACCATAAAATTCTGATAGATCTTGCTTGGCGGTGAGTGACTTGACTGCCCCATAAGCGCTGAGTCATTAAATTAAGATCAGCGTATTTTAGTTAATTACGCTTTAAAAGGATCTACCTTGTCAGGATCAAATTCTCACCACCTGTCGGCCCGTCGAAAGGTGGCTCTGTGGAGTTTTGCAGTTTGACTCTTTCCAGAGGATGGCCGATGCAGTCAGCTGGAAATCATAGCAGTTCGAGTGGGTTCCAGTGGCAGCTCAGAGACACAACAAAAAACAAGTCAAAATATCCATCATCAATTTCTCACCACCTCCAGCTCCAAAACTCAACCACAATAACTGTGTTTAGGGACTTTTAGACTAAGGGAACACTACAGAACATACAGATCCTCTGTGTTTAAGAGGTTTCTACAGATATTTTGACACTTTTAGCCATGACTCTGGACTGAAATCTGTTCTTTGAATCCAAGCTGATGGATCAAGCTTCATAGCCACCTTTCACAGACTACAGGCAGTGACTTTCTACTATCAAAATATACTGTTTTTAGTGGAGTTTTGCTTTAAGGCATCAGGAAAAATGGGTTACGAAAGCTGATTAAATCTGATTCTTTTAAGACAAGAAATGGTCATTCTGTAGGAAGATAGCTGATTGTTGAGTCTTGTTTCCAGGTCATCAAATACCGAGGCTTTGGGTTAGGGTAAATGGGAAACAGACAAAGTGGCTTGGAGTGAGACACAATACAACATGTAGAGTTTGTGCTTCCAGGACATCGAACACTTTTAGTTTCCAAAGTGTCGGTATTTGAGCTGGGAGTGAGACCCTACTTTTAAAGCAACCATGTTTAGAACCGACATTGGTCAAACATTCCTACAAAGTGAACATAAAAGTGTCTTCTGTATTTCTCAGACCATCCTCGACCACATGCACCTGCGCTGTAAATGCCACGGCCTGTCAGGGAGCTGCGAGGTGAAGACATGTTGGTGGGCTCAGCCGGACTTCCGCATGCTGGGCGACTACCTGAAGGACAAGTACGACAGCGCCTCGGAGATGGTGGTGGAGAAGCACCGCGAGTCACGAGGCTGGGTGGAGACACTGCGAGTCAAGTACAACTTCTTTAAGCACCCCACTGAGCGTGACCTGGTCTACTACGAGGGCTCACCCAACTTCTGCGAGCCCAACCCGGAGACCGGCTCCTTTGGGACACGTGACCGGGCCTGCAACGTGTCCTCGCATGGCATCGAGGGCTGCGACCTGCTGTGCTGCGGCCGCGGACACAACACCCGGACTGAGAAACGCAAAGAGAAGTGCCACTGCATCTTCCACTGGTGCTGCTACGTCAGCTGGCTGCCGAGGAGTGTGATGCGTGTCTATTGACGTTCCACACAGTACAGGTAGGAGAGGCCTGTGGTTTCAGACAAGAGCTTGATGCTGGCTACAATGCTGCCCACCCGCCTCCAGATCCCCAAATCCTGCACGACCACCCTGTTCCCCACCCCCCTCAAGACAACAGACTTGCAACTCTGCATCCCATACAAAAAAACATATTCATCAGCACACACACTCAGGCCCTAATGGGTAATGGGCACATCAGTAATGATTACTTTTTTTTTTTAAAATAAAAACCGCTCTAGAATCTGTCTTTCCAAACACTAACATTTCCATAATATCTGACCAGAGAGTGTCTGTGTTGACCTGACTGACTTGTTAGTCCGCTCTCTATGGAAAGAAGCTAGATTGTGCACTCCCCCCCCACCCTGGTTCCTTTCCTTGCAGCATTGGCCCCCTCCCCTCCCCCTGTGTCTTTATTTATTTCCCCCCTCCATGCCAACAACAATGGGTCCGTGGCATGTACAAGTAACCACTTTTACCTGTGGAGATTAATGCAGTAAAAAAAGAAAAAAAAAAAAAACTTTCAGACTCTCTTTGCTTTTGAATAAAAAGCATCTTCTAACTAACACCTCACTTCTCTGGCCGGTCTGGCCGGTTTACCTTTTTTTTGTTTTTTTTAAACTAAACCAACCTCTACACCATCACTTATTCCTAAGTGATACTGAACACGTCGGCAGCCCCAGGAAACCATCACTTTGTAACTACTGAACTGAACTGAAAACAGCAGGCAGGTGTTGGAAGTGCCACAGTCCTGTCTTTTGTTAACTACTGAGCTGATGAAATCCTCAGTGTTGCTACTCCCCTGCTGACTGACTCTACTGCACCAGTCGACCAGGGAGCCTGGAAGATATATGCTACAGCCTGATTTTATAGCCCTGCATTTCTGAAATATTACCATTGGGCTGGGACTGGAGGTATGCAGCATGTGTGTGAACAAGCATGCTCATTCCACTAACTAACAACCCTACACATGTATATGTATGCACTATTCAGTTACACATTACTCCAGGTGGTAAAAATTTGAGCGTTGTTTATGCGAGCAAAATTCTTTTTGGTTTCAAGCTATCGGCTCTTATGAATGACGACTTTGTTCTGCATTCGGGCACGATCAACCTGTAAATTGCTCATGAATTCCACAAAGTGTGATGCAACACGGTCATACATTATTCAATATAAGGAGCGTTGTGGTGAACAACAGCCAGGAAAAGATAGCGTTCAAATTATGTGAGTAGGAGATCATTTATGCATCAAACTGGAAGAAAGAAAAGGGGGACATGTGACGACGTGGAGACCAGAGCGTGGAGTAGGTTCTGATTGGCTTTCACATCCTCCCTTCCTTCTCTCCATATTTTCCCGTGTTGGACAGTTGAGGTTTTTAAGAACCGTGATTTATGAACTTGTACTCTTGTCAGTACACCCCAAAACTGCCTAGCTCTTCTGGTTTTGGAGATATTGGAAGAACAATATACTGTAATTTACTCCAAATATTTTTTTCAGAGGCATGGATGACTGCCCAGTTGACGCTGACTTGTAATTTTTAACAAAAGGAAATGATTTTAAGATCATTGAGGAAAAATAGCTGTGATTTCTGGGTGGACAGAGAAGACTTCCAGTTCATGTAGATTCTCGAGTTCTGATCCTGAGAACATTGAGCAGAAGGAGGTTGGAAAACTTCATCAGGAGCCCGATCTGTGCAAGATGTGGATGTATGTGTGTGTGTGTGTGTGTGTGTGTGTGTGTGTCGTGATCGCTGCAGTGACAAGACAGAAGTAAAATGGAAAAAAGGATGGATGGATGGATGGATGGCAGGCTGGCTCTTCACAATGGTGGAACAAACTGAGAGAGGTTTCCACCCAACATGTTCTGACAGTCCCACCTGCTTCCTATTAATTATATTCAACAACAAAAACACAAGTTACCCAGTAGTGTATAGGCTGTCCTCTCTTTGTGACATAGCTTAGCATTTGTGTCATCTTCTACACAGCCCCTCCCTACCTGGGCCTACCTTTCTGTGTTCAGTTCCCTCCAACCCTCCACACCCCCTTACCTTTCCCCCTCCACCTCCATCTCCCCCCGCTATATCCAAAGTTTTGTACAAATGTTTTAAAGTGAATAATTCCCTTTTTATTTTATAATCGTAAATGTTATGTTTTTATAAATATTATTTATTATACAATGTATATATCTGTATGACTGAACTAAGATTATATATTTGAAGAACAAAACTGTCTCATGCTTTTTGTTTTCATGCCCAGAGGTAAACGCACACATTAATAACCGCACTTCTAAACTTGTTTCAGACTGTGATAGAAACTGCTCCTTGCATAACAATAGCATGATCAGATATCTC